AATTGTACTTTGATTTTTGTAGATAATCCTAATACTCTAGACTACACCTTTCGTTTGTTTGCCAAAGAAACGGTTGTATTTTTCAATCATCTCACGACAAATTGATGAGAAGAATAATATTAGCTAGCGAAATATTTTGCAAATCACTCGACATGACAAAAGACTTAAGTACTCTCAGTATGTCATAAATTTGACTGAAATACAGAGTCTACGATTGACTGGTCACTTATTGAATAGCAACTAATGTGATACTTGCCTATTGGTTTCCAATACTGGTCAAATCTTATCGATCAAGTTACAATGTGATAACTAAACTATGTTACTTGACATCATGTTCACTACATTTTTATAAGTGATGGTGAAATGTAGTCGGCAAGATTAGATAAACATGATATTTACTACTATTCAATAATCGATTAATGTTCATACCACAGTCCCACAGAACATCATTCGTGGATCGAATACTTCAATGATAATGTCCAAGATTGTGAAACTGGTTGATCAGGGTTCGTATTAACAAAGAACCATCGGTTCTCTTTAAACTGCAGCTATACCATGCTGATGAGTGGAATTGAGTGAGAAACCTCGGTTCATGCTTTTCAATCGACTATTTTCAATCATCTAACGACTTCTACATTCAGAAGTGTATTTAGTTCTTAATACAAAGGACGAACTGATATTCATCTAGTAACATAACTAACAGGTAAATCATAGTTGGTAGGTTTTATTTGTCACAGACGAATTTCGATTATTGTATTACTGACATTCTAGTGAGAAGTCTTAACTGGTAAACTTCAGACATTTAGAGACCGAAACAGTTCTGACCAACGGTACTGGATGATTTCCACTATATATTTTCCAACCCACTGGTTTTACTGCTAGGTTTTCGTCACGAGACTTTGAGGATCCTGTGTCCTAGCCCTGGAAGCTTGTGGGCAAATTCCAATGCTACCCCTCACTCAAATCAATATTAGGGAATGTTAAGTCCAAAACATTTAAATTACCTGTATCTATCAATATAGTTTTCTGAAGTCTTAAATCAACTTTTCAAAATATGGGAGTCTGTGTTTTCTATTAGTTCTGTTACAAATATTGAGTGACAATACTCTGAACATGACGGTATCAGACAATAGTGATATCCAGATACCTTGAAAGTGAATCTTGAAGACAAACGGTGAAGAAGGGAATGTAGTATATTTAAACGTAGGTGTCGACGGAAAAATTTGTGACTTACAAGTTGTCCGTTTAGGAAAGAAAATGTGTCGCAGGTAGGTTTTGCAGGAATAAGGGAACAATGGTTGGTCAAGCGCCTTCAAATACCAGTCTCCGTTTAAACTAACAAGGCGAGTATCAATGCAGGATACTTTCAAAACTATTAACTTTGAAGAGTTATTTACCATCACAATAAAAATGGAGCCTTAGATTTACTGTCAGTGGTCTTGACAGAAACAAAACACTGTTTATCTAGGTACTTAGTTACTTCTGTTACCCATCGTGATGAAGAATAGGCCGTTATTGTTTGTTCGTTACTGGGGTTTCATACAGTAACAGGTTAATTATAAAACCTTTAATAAAACATCGGTGTATTGATGAAATATGATTGAATCAGATTCAAATGTTGAAATTTAAAGACACAATTGCAGTGACCTCACTGACATATTTAAAGCATTTTTATATACATATATAAATATATCTTCATAAAGATGTGTGATTTACATAATCATCTACTATAGACATTCGAAGTTTACATGACGAACTGGCTTTAAACAATTTTTACAAATCAAGGAGTACCAGGCAGGAGTTTCATATTAGTATTAAATATTTTAATAATCAAATGAAATCAATAGTAAAGTTTGCAAAAGTCGTGGGTTAATCAAAGAATGAAACAATCCTGTCAAATTGAATTGCACATTTCATGTACGATTTCCTTTTATGGATTAAACATTTCAAATTCATGATGTCTCATTTGGAAATGTTTGTAAAGTAATTTTCGACTCAAATTACAAACTTTTACAGCTTGATAAGCCAACGTCCTTGACTCGAGTAATACTACTTCAGAGATGCTTATCGGACAGAAATCAAAGTTTATTCATATGTTCATTACTTGATTATTCCGTATTAAATAGTATCATGTTCATCTAGTCCTTAATGCTGACAGAATTCTATTAACTAAGTTGTAATGTAGTCACTAGCATTGGTAACTCATTAACGTATGCAGTATGCCTTAATGTTTGTCAACTGTCATGAAGGTCTAGAAAAACACAAATGTCAGGCTATCTAAAACTCTTCAGAAAACTCTTCCATGTGTGAACTTGCGATACTCGTGAGATCTGGACTAGTGTTATACAATGTCATAACTAGATGTGTTGTCATAGGGCTATTCTGAAAATGACTGGGATCCAATTGAACAACAAGACCTAGACTACATGTTAATCAATCAATTCCAATCAGACTAAAGAAACATAATATTAGTTGTTACACTGTGATCAATCAATGTAAATGTCTCAATCCTTCATATGATCATAGTCCTAGTACTTTTATTTATTTAAACACATAAACATTGATACAAAATAACACCAATTTTTATACGCGACACATAAATCATTGAGTTTGTGGGTGGGCTGGGATCCTGCCCGGGTACTAGAACAGAAATAGGTGTTTTTCCCTTAGATCCACTCCCGAAGCCTTTAACCTCAAGGTATAATCTACAATACAATATAGCAACGTCAAGGGATGTAATCACGTGGTAGCCGTTGATCGAGAATAGGTTATACGCAATTTCTTCCCTCAGGATCCTGGAGCCTATGTGAACCATTAGTTTTGAATCACAGTTTCCTAAATCCCTCAAATGAATTCACTCTTCCCTCCAACCTAGTTCAAGTGCCGAACATTTGGTTTTCATCCTCTCAACTTCGTAAGCAGCACCCCCTCCATGAGGAGAAGGTGAGTAGTGTGTCCCTGAGAGTGGGTATATACGCATGGCCATATGAGAGCATTTAGAGAAAGAGAGAGACTTCTCACCCTCCTCCTTGGCCGTACTAGGGAATTTTGAGGTCAGTAATTCAGTGGTGACGTTACTGGCAGTCAATCAGGGTGATTAGGTTTCCAATCTTACGAGTTCAATTAGTTCACATTAAGATAAGCCTTGTGGAAGAATGTCACCTAACATGAAATGTTAATCTGCAATGAGTTTCCGACACATTAACTTCATCTACTTGGTATTAAAATACACGTTATTTATAGTTATAATTAATACTGAAATTTCGATGGACTCTAATTTGTGAGTTTAATATATTAAATTGAGAAGACAATTTGAATAAGTTGCTGACTAACTGGAAGTATTCGCCCAAATTTTGTTCGACTTTCAATGTTACTAATTGATTTGACTTCATCATTTTATAATGAAATTCCAATTAGATTTTATTCACCATGGAAAAGTGATAATTCCGAATTATTTTCTATGCTACTTATATCAATTTTTACATTCCATTTTATGCTTTATTTAAAAAAAAAAATAAAAAACCTGTACTTCAAAAGTAAAATGTAACACTTATGGTTTCGTATCATGCACACACACACACACAGATACATACACACATACACAAAAGTTACAGTACCTACACAAATTAGTTTACAATTTGTGTTTAAAATGTCAAATATCAGTATGTACTTCTGTCTACCAGTAATACTACATTACACATTTCTAGATACACTAGTATATATACACACACAAGCAGACAAACTTTTGATTGGATTAACATCATTCCTATAAATGGTCAATAGCTTCTCATACATGTATTATAGTAAAGTGAATTAGATTAACTTCTATTGGTTCATATATATATAGATATTTTTTTTTAAGTATTAATATAACTGCTCTCTGTTTCGGCCATGAAAAGCATCATCAATAGTCATAATAAGATTATCATTAATGTTAATAATAAATAACTCTTTACAATACACATACCCTTTACTACTAATAAGTGATAATTAACAATAATGATAGAAATCTATTGAATTTTAGAACTTTTTCCCCAATCAATTTTCACAATAACAAACAACAAACAAAAACTTTCAAGTATTAATTTTATTACTATACAATGTTCTTTTTTATTTTTCTTCAATATTACTGATTTCATGTGACTGATTGAATGAAATGTCACATGGAAATCTATTGACTTTTACACTACATCGAATATATATCTATATACATAGTACGTATAAAAAAATATAAGTTAATTGATTTACTGGAATATAGAAACACAAACATAAGTGATGTGAATAAACACAACATTTAAGAAAAAAAAAGCGAGATAGGTTGTATTTCATTTTGTGTATGCGTTGTATGTGTTTGTGTGTTGTTGTTGTTGTTGTTGCTGTGTATAGTGTGTGTACTTGCACTTTACACTTTTGAGTAAAGTTTGTTCAAACTTTTTTTTTATAAAGAAAAAAAAGGAAACAACTGACTCGATTGAGAGAGAGAGAGAGAAACAGAAAGAGCGCAAAATCAAGTTCGCTAAGAGACAAATATTTTTTTGGTATTTTCGTTGTTGGCTGAGTTGGTTCCAATATACATAATACATGTATGCAAAACACGTATAAATCTACAACATATATATATATATATATATATATATGTATATACACCTACAGATTAAACACATAGGTCGAATTTCTCTCTATTAATCTATCACACACTGTTGTACATTTATCTAACACACAGACACACTGAAACTAACATGTAAGTGTGCATATGCACTTACTTATATGACACAAGAATCACAATATTATTATTATTATTATTAATACTTATACTATTACTATTATTATTATTATCATCACCATTACTCTGACATGGATTGGTCTTATTCACAATAATTACCATTGGAGGAAATCAGGTCTACAAATTTTTACTGGTTTTTTTTTAACAACAACAACAACAGAAAAAAAAGAACAAAATAATTAAGAACTAATTGTCAAGGAAATTATTTGTAAACAGAATGGAATCTACCGAGGTCAACTGTTCAGAGAATTCAGCTATTCAAGAAACTACAACAACTATTACTATTACTTCTACTACCCCTGTAAATAATATAACTACTGATAAGACTTCTGAAGATCATTATGATATTCATGATAATCAAACTGAAGTATTAACAAAGACAATTCATTCAGATATGTGTAATAGTAATGATTTACAATCAAGTATTAATTCTCATGAAACTACTCCCAAAGAATCAAAGTTAGATGATCATGAAACAGAAAATTCACAGAATCTTAACAAAACAAATGAAACACATACTGGAATAGTGATAATAAGAAATGAAACAATAAGTCCTCATACCGATACATTCAATAATGAAGTGATCCCAATAAACACTGATGTTTCTACAAAAACAATAGACGAGATTGAAATGAACACAGACAAAACTCATTCAGAGACAAGTCCACAACTACAAGAAAACAATTTGGAAAATAATCAAGATAATAAAATAGAAGTTGAATTAACTTTAACAAAAAATTCACCGGATATATCAACCCATAAATCGATTAGTAATAATTCATCAATAAATCAATTAACTGAACATTATATTACAGCACAAGAGGAATCACTTGTAAATAATGATAAAGATGATGAGAAAAATAGTCCGAAACATCCACATCGACCACCTCCACCAAAATTAAATCAAACCAAACATACATCAGTATCTCTTTCATATAGTGGAGGAGAAAATGATGACGTAATGACCAAAAATGACAAGCTAAATGATCATTCACAAATAGATAGTAATAATAATTATCAAACTAATCTGAACATATCTGTGAAACAACAACAGAATGACAGCGATCTCGACCAGCATAAACCTCAATTTAAACGTCCAACAATCAAATCAAATATTAAACACGTATTTACTAATCTAAGGAAAAGTTTTAAACGTAAAGATAAACCATCAATCAAACGTGTAGTTAATGATCATGATGAAGTTGAGAATAATTATACATATACTAGTCAACAACCAATGACAACCCATGCATATTACAATGATCGTAATAACGATTATACTGATCATAGACATAAACAGTTAAATTATCCTTCAAGTTCATCTTCTCATCACGAATATCATCATCAGTATTATCGAAATTCCAATGAAATACACGAAAATCAATCACAATTATCCAATGCACAATCGTTGAATATAGTAAGTTTGAAATGTTTGTATGTAGAGAGATAAAAAAAAGAAAGACTAGTGTTTACATAATATATAAACTTGTATTATTCAAGCCATAAGGTGAGATCATTCAAAAGACTATTGAAAATGAACAAACAAGAGGGGAATTCTTCTACTTTTCAGCTTAAAATTAGTTCGTATTTATAACTATACGATGTATTGAATTCATGGTAGGTCTGACAAATTCAGACAATGGAAATGCTGTTCAATGGGTATTTTTTAAATTATTTTATTTTCCTTCATAGTGTAACGTAATGCTTCGTTGTTGGAAGAGAATTGTCACACTTCCAAATTTCTTTCTTTCATACGATATAGTCTCCTGTATTAGAATTTCTATTTGTCTATCTCAATCATCGATTATTCAATGAGTAGTGATCAGTTTCATTCTTATTTAGTCCTTTAGTGCTAACCGGATTCTGTCGATCGAATCTCAATGTGGATACTAGACTAAACGACATGACATCAAATTGAGTTATTAGATGATTGAAGAGAATTGTTAGTAAACCCTGGGCCTAGGTATCGTTCGCGGAGGAGCCCTTCCATATGGAGAACCTGAAATCTTAACCAAATGATGTTCCCTAGTAAATTCATTCCTGCGTTTGCAGGCTTCATGGTCTTAAATACTGACAATGAGCTTATAGTTGCCTCACAAGTTTTAATTATCTGGTGTTTGAAAAGACGGAATCCGGATTCCACTTCAAATGTAATCAATAATCATTCTTGAAGTTATCTTCAATTTTCATTTGAAGAAATGTTAATTAAATTTCTGATTTGTTTAGTATCAAATAAGAAAGTATTGCCGATTTTGAGCAATTTTTCTCTGGAAAAACGTCTATGTAATAAGAATCAATGACCTTAGAAACACTATCAACTATCTTTCTTCACTACTGAATTATATTGATATAAATTTTACATTCCGTAAATACTCCTTTAATTAAATAATTATAGGAGTCTAGTTTGTCTGAAAATTAATGATTATGCGAAATGTTTTATTTACATTGATTGATCACCTAGTGAAGATCAATTTTACATTGTCTTAATAACAATTTGGGCTAATCTATTTCTATAGATTGAAATTACAATTTAAGTTGATTGTGAATTACTTCGATTAATAAATATATTTGAATACTTGTCTTATAGAATTTAATAGTTGACATCATGTGTCAGTTGAAGCTAGACCACTATGGAAAACCTAGAAGCATTGGACGGTCGTTTCGTCCTACTGTGAAGATCCTCAGGAGGATTTTCCTGGAGTTCAATTGAGAAGCAGTGATCAATGGAGTTTAGTCTTGTCCGTTGTGAGATAATAACTCACTGAAGAGAATAAACTCCTCAACAGTGTACATCCATGGTCTCCGCTCGCACGACTCGAACCCAGGATCTATCAGTCTTACGCATGAGCGCTTAACCGTTAGACCATTAAGCCGGCATCCAACGATTAAAATTTCTATTATCAACTTACTATTATTAAAGTGACTATATTATCCACAAAACCCTTCTGATATGAATCAACGTATGCTCACTAGTCACAAACTCCAAGACGTGTTTCCTGGAGTTCTAGTGAAAAGCAGTGATCAGTGGAGTTCAACCGGGTCTGTTGTGAGATAGTAACTCACTGATGACAATGGTGGATGTACCACTTAAATTCGTGGATTAGTTGAAGTTAAACATTAACACCGTTGGATGCCCGCCGGTTCAGTGGTCTAGTGGTTAAGCATTTGCACGCGATACTGATAAGTCCTGGGTTGGAATATCGCGAGGTGAGATCTTGGATGCGCACTGATGAGGAATCCCACAATAGAACGAAACGGCCATCCAGTACTTCCAGGTTTTCCATGGTGATCTGGCTTCAACTGACTCACCATCTCATCGATTAAAATTACTATAATATCCACGAAACCCCTTCTATTATAGAATTTAGTCAATATTTAGTGACAAGACATATTATTCAGTGGTTAGTAAAAATGAATATCTTCATCACCGTGTAATTAACTGAACTTTATCTTTCGTCATAGAAACATCCTGACACAAGTATTATTGTATGGGATCATTTTGTTACATAACTTTTGAATCAATCGATTTTTGTTTCAATTTATCTTTTATTTATCATAAACCCTTAATGAAATCATTTTATCCGAGGTCGACTAATTCATAGGCGAAATGGTAAAATAGAAATATTAGAATAGACAATAATTTCCATCAAAAACGTATTCGTATCGATGAGAATGATTCTGTTACAATTTCATTTCTCCAACACTTCAATAAATTTATGAATAAAGATTTAATAGGCGATCAAGAATTTTCTGTGAACATTTTTATGGACATGGAAAAGATTCAGGAATAGACATTTTACTTCAACTGTATTAATACTTAGATTAATGAGGTTATATACATAACAATACTGAAGTTTTTATTGATGGTGTCGTTCATAATAACGATGAAAGCTCTATGATCAAACCATCCAGCTCAGAGAACCAAGCTCCATCATAATCTTCACTATAATTTGTTTTAATTAAATCCTGTAGAATGTTTGACGATTAAATAAATTAGATAGTTTTCATTGTATGCACCGTTTCAGTAATTTACCACATTTTTCTAAAATATGATTATTGATCTGGAAACACTAGACGAACATTACTTCCTAGTATGGGAATTCCCTCGCGCGAGACCTGAACTCAGAACTTTCGACCTGGTGTGCAAACGCCTAACCCCTAGACCACTGAGTCGGTATCCTACGGTGTCATTATCTATCTCTAACCAATCCACGATAATTACGCCTGAATATTAACATCAGCATAACTAGTAAACAATTTCACCAAACCTTTCTTGCAAATAAATATCTATTCTATATTTTGGGTTACATCCAACGATATTTCATTCTATTTGTAGCTCATCAGTTTGAATATACTGAAATATCATATTGTTGATGTTAGTATTGAAAGTTGATTGCGTTATTTACTTACTAAGCTGCTTAGTTCACACAACTGTCTACATTATTAAAAATATGTTTATTCTTGTTCACTGATTTGATACAAAAGTGAGTTTAAGCAATTGACTACTTTAACTTTAAGGCACAATGTTGTTCATCTGATGAGATGACATTCAACAATCTTCACGTGTTTTTTACAATAAAGTAGGACGGATTGGACTACTGCCCACTGAACTCGTCCTTTGGTTGATAAACGTATATCTCGCCTAAACTAGATTGTAAATGCACAAATCATTACATTATTATTTAAATAATTGAAATAACAATTATGGAATTTTAGAATGACTGGTATGAAATTATATCATGGATTCAAGAAGCATTTTTCTACAACACTCAGATACAGGTACATCTAACTGACCAGTCTAACATTAAACAAAACCCTTACGCTGGATTCCGCATGTAATCAAATTCCAAATAAACTATAGAGAGACTAAATGTCTTAGATTCCTCTTTATTTTCAGTTGTATGGTAATCAACTTTTAATTATTCAATATACGTATGAATTAGGTATAATAAGCTAGTAATTTATTAGGAACTACTTCAATCTGAATATTATCATTAATTCTGTTATTCCGCATAGAAACTTGAATAGAAATCGCATAGACATGGATTAGTATTTGGAACCTATCATAATCATTCTGTATAATCACATTATCACTGTACATCACTAAATTGTAATCTAAAGTATTATATTCCCTAAGGGTAAATTTGACTTTATCAAGAATGATCATCCATGATATGTTTTACATTAACTGTATAACTTACTTAACTATGAATAGGTTCATAAATATATACATACCAAATAGAAAGTAATCTTTTCTCATTTACCCTAAAGAAAATTACACTGGAACAAATATCATTTAGTATATCAAAAAAACTAGAATTACAAACTGGATCATCCATCAGCTTAACATTCTTGTTCTATCCAATATATCTGATAGTTTTTAAACTTCATTTCTCTAATTAATACCTTGGATATAACAAAATATAAAGAGTTAGTTGACAATTAAATAAATGAGACAACTAATGAATCAGAAGGGGTTTTGTGGATATTACTGTAATTTTAGTAGTTGAGATCATGAGTCAATGAAAGCTAGATCATCTTGGAAAACCTGGGAGCAGTGCGCATCCACGATCCTGCCCGGTGAGATTCGAACCCAGGACGTATCGGTCTCGTGCGCGAACGCTTAAACTCTAGACCACTGAGCCGATCGGCATCCAACGATGTTAATGTTTAACTCCAACAAATCTATTACTTTTATTAAAACTGATCATGTTAATATAATAATAACATTGCGAATATAGTTTTACTAAGGTAATTTGATATAGTAAATGATTAAAGTCAATAGAAGAGGTCATAGAAATTGAAATATCAATATATTGAGTAAATAATTCGTTTTAAGATAACTGACATTAAAACCACTTTGAAATGTCTTTTCCTTAGTCTAATCGATAACGTTTGAGGGTATAATCATGATTCTAATCAATGGACAAATTATCTGCTTCTATATCCATCTTAAATTTATTATGTAATTTATTTGAACACATCCGCATTGGTACAAGGGGGCACCAAATACATATACGTCACACAATAACAATGAGACCAGTAGTATTTATCATTGATTTATGTGAGGACTGTGATATTGCCTGGGTGCCTAAACTGAAGCAGGTGTTTTGCTAAAGGGGTCATACCCTAAGCCTTCGACTTAAAGGTTTGATCCACTAGGCAGTGGAGCGAATTCAGGAGATGCAGTCTCATGATAGTCGGTGGCCAATAATTAGTTTATATACCGTTTGCTCACTCAGGATCCTGAAGCCGATGTGCATCATTGGTTTGAAATAATGGTTTTCCAACTCCCCTAGGTGGATCATCTATGTCTACCAACCCGATTAAAGCATATGAAATTCTCTTTTCGTCCACTCACTTTCATAAAAACACCCACTCCACAAAAAGGCAGTGAATAGTACTTCCCTGGCAGTG